AGTCTTCCATGAGTACTCCATCCCGATAACATTCCATAGGCCGGAAAATCGCTTATAGTCCACATCAAAACAGCCTTCAACCTGAAATTCTCTTTCTGTGAGGCATCGTATGCATCAATTCCACAATGCCACAACTCAAGTAATTCTTCGATCAAAGGTTGAAGAAAAATGTCAAAACTTTTCTTCGGATGCTCCGGTCCCGGAATCAAAACTGTCAAGAACAAGAACTCTTTTTTCAGACACATATCTGGAGGTAAGTTATAAGGAGACATAACAATAGGCCACAGCGAATATTGTTTGCCCGATTGACCATACGGTGCAAACCCATCTGTGCATAAACATAGATAAACATTTCTATGTTCTGATGCAAAGTTCGGATATACCTCGTTAAAATTCTTCCATGCATCACCGTCAGATGGATGACTCATGTTCTCAGGATCTGATGTATGTTCAGCATGCCACCGCATATGTGAAGCTGTTTGATGAGATTCATACAATCTTCGCAGACGGTCTTTGATCGGTAGATAAAACATCCTTTTGTAAGGAACACGGTTGCGTTGACCAGATTTTTTCGCCTTGTATCTTTCAGCTCCACAAAATCGACAGTTGTTCAACTGGCTAGATTCTTTCCAAAATATCATACAGTTGTTAGGACATACATCGATTTTTATCGATTCCATTCCCAACGATCCCATCAGTTTAGACATATCATAATACGAATCTGGAGCGTTATTACCTTGGGGAAGATAATCATTCAGCATCTGACAAACTTCATTCATGCAGTTCTCTGTAAGATTATAACTCGTCTTCATCCCCATCAATCTAGCAGAAGCCGATAGTTGAGAAAGCCCTTCTTTACAACCATCATAAATAGGTTGGTTTGCAGCCTCTAATAGATCGAAAATTTTTTTCGATGCCTCATTCATCGGATCTTCTGTAACCTGATCATTATATTGAGATGGAAATGCATCTTGAACCATCTCAATATATGAATTTGGCTGATCATAGACATCAGTATTTCTCACAGATATATTCTCATCAGAAATTTGAAACGTCTCACCATGATAAACCCAGACGTAATAGTTAGAGACAAAACCTTTTTTCCATAGATGTCTCATCACAACTTCTGGAACTTCTTCCCTCTCGTTTTTACATCTTCGGCACGGACAATATATCTTTCCTCTCTGAAGAAAAATATGTTGATTTGTTGCAAACTCCAAAAAATTAGTCAATCCTTCTTCGTAATGCGTAGATACATTACCCGTAGAAGGATTTACTCTTTCGTACATCCATTTTCTTGAGTAATAAATATTGTTATTACTCGATGCCATTTTTTGAGTTTTTTTCGGGTGCAAGAGTGTATGAATGGGTTCCGTGGTTTAAAGGAAATATAGTGACGCAATTGCGTCACAAAATTAAAGGAAATATAGTGACGCAAATGCGTCACTAAATTAAAAAAAAGTGACGCAATTGCGTCACTATTAATGACGCAATTTCGTCACAAAATTTTTTGTGACGAAATTGCGTCATTATAATATAATGACGCAATTGCATCACCAAATGGTGACGAAAGGGTGACGAAAGGGTGACGATATTTCCGCGCGTTATTTGGCGACGCAATTTTGCGTCATCATTGCGTCACCATTGGGTGACGCTGTAAATTGCGTCACAAAAGCGTCACTATTTAGTGACGCTCAGGTGACGCATTTGTTGCGTCACCCTTTGCGTCACACAATCGTCACCGTTGCGTCACCCTTTTAGTGACGCAAAATTTGCGTCACTTTTTGCGTCACCCTTTTCGTGTTTTCTTGTAGTGTAAATCCGATGTAAAAGCATGTTTTACATGTCTTTTTACCACTAATCCACCCAAACTTAGGTTTTATATTTTTATATATTGAGGTTATCTTCTTTGATTTTTCAACAAGATAAGGATTAGTAATTTACTCATAGAACGAGACATGTTAGTGGTCGATTTTCACCACCAACGTTGCACATTTGCTAGCTATATATTGAATGAAATCCCTCATCCACATTCAATATCTCCTCTCTACATATATATTATTTTTTCTTTTTATGTACATATAAAAATTTTCAAGTTCATGGTCCGAATCATATATCTCTAGAAAAATATATTTTTTCATCCACATTCAAGATCTCCTTAGGGTCTCATTTCTTTGTAGGGTGCTCCATTTGAATAATAGACCAATGAACATACCATATATATATATATATATATATCATCACATTATTAAATGTATATATGGTCGGTGATAAAAGGACATAAAAGCTATGCGATGAATATGGATAATTGAGGGTCAAGATTCTTAGAACTTCTGTTCAGATCTCCTACAAAAATGGTAAGCCATTTGACATTTCCTTTTTGGCAGCTCGCAATCCCAACCCAAAATTGTAATGCACGTTAGAGAATAGGATCGGTTTAAACCGGTTTACTTTGGTTTAGTTCCATTTAGAGTTTGTAAATTTTATAAATACCAGTTATTTACGTTTGAATCACTAATACGGAAACATTTTTAAGACCCATTTAAATGTTCCAATTCAATCTGCATGCCCAATCACAAATTGTAATAAACCAATAGAAAGTACGTGAACTTAAATAAATTAGTGCGTACCGTATGTTTGGACTTATGGTTCTCTCAATCCAAAATACATTATGTGTTTGTTAACTAACCACAGGACAGTACGTGCTCTCTCTCTCTACATAAATTATTAATTCATTTTTTTGTTGGCACTATAAATTAATTTTCTCAAATTAAAAAATATTCATTGGTTAAAAGTATTCATATTCCTTTGAACTATATTTTTCCAAAAATAATTATAACAAAATAATTAACAAAAATATAGTTATGCATAAAACAAAAACAAAAATAGTGAACAATAATGACCTGAAACATATTTTATATTTATTGATATACATACTTTGAAAATTAACTTTGATTTTACTCGTTAGTATCGTGACTGTCAAAAGATATTTTTTACTAATTAATTTTGTGAAGACATCTATACACAATTAGATTGGTAATCAATTTTGAGTGATTATCTAGTTTGTTTTATTGAAAAATATATATTTTAGATAATTATAAATGAAGTTATTATAAATATATTTTAAAAAATAAAAAATCATAAAAATTGGTTAAATATCGCTAAATATTTTTTAGCGATATATTTTTATTAGTTTTTTTATTATATATATATATATATAGAAATTTACTAATGCCTCCACTAATATTTTTTTCTGTGTCCGCAACTGATCTCAACCATCTCAAAATTTTTTAAATAACAAATTTTGCAACAATAATATATAGGTGGTACTTTTTTAAAGACTATTGTTACTTCAACACCTAAAAAAATTAGAGAATATATATATATGTATATATATTATAAAGAAATATGTACGAAAAAAAAAACTTTTTAGGATCAATGGGAACCATAATTATGTGCATGTGTTAAACACGAAAATTTAGAATCTTCTTTTCAAGACCACTGTCTGTCTTTTATTATAACCTATCTCCTCGTATCTATATAATTATCATAAATATTTAAAAAAAATCTCTTTACCAATTAATAAAAAAAATATCGATATGCCATCTAAAAAGAATTTGAGATTTTTAGGAATATTGTAATAATATTTTCTACAAATTATAAAAAAATATTGTCTAAATATAGATAAATATTTTAATTTTTTATTTGTTATATTTAAAATATAAATATATATATATATATATATATATATTAAGTTTTATTTTTTACTTTATTTTTTTATTAATTTTCATTAAAGCGTTATTTAAAAAAAGGTAATTTTACTACATTTTTATATCGAGTTAAGACTAAATTTGAATGGAGTTAACTTGATTTTAAAAAATTATATTTGATTGGTCTTAAATCAAATTTATATAGAATGCAGTTATAACAATGTTAGGTTGTTCAACCAAAAAACAATGTTAGGTTGGATTAAATTTTATTCGAATGACGGAGAATTGTCCACGACAAGGTGGAAATTTCAAAGACTAAATCAAAGGACAATTGAAAATTAAAGGCAAAAAGGAACAAAAAGAAAGAGGCACATGGAACCCGTGTAAAGAATTCAATTCCACCTTATATATATATATATATATAGTTAAAAATATGATTTAGAAATTAGGCAAGCAATTAGTTATCATTGTTTATTTCCTTAAATTCTAGATATTTCTAGCTCCGACCGTATTTAAAGAAAAATAATAATTCACCATTTTTAACACGTTTCCTAAAAGCAACTAAACTCCATATGTTCGTATTCACTTTGTTACAAATCATTCGCCCTCTCCACTTTGTATTTATCTATATACCACCTTCGTTTCTCCTCCCCCACATATCCATGAATACCTATATCTTTAACCACGGAAGAAGAAGAAGAAAATAAAATAAAATCAAATTCAACGGTCCGAAAACCCTCATGTTCGGAAAGATCAAGAACAAGAACCGAGAACAAGAAGCATGAGGGAAGCGGACGAGGACACGACCGCCAAGTGCTTGGCCGACGAGTGGCCCGAACCGATCGTCCGGGTTCAGTCCCTGGCCGAGAGCAACCTCTCCGACCTCCCCGACGTCGACAGTTAGCCGCCGTCCCAGCGCCCGTCGACGACGACCACCGTAGACTCGGATCACCACCGACACGCAAACATCCCGATCATCGGTTCAGTCCCTGGCCGAGAGCAACCTCCCCGACCTCCCCGACCGGTACGTAAAGCCGCCGTCCCAGCGCCCGTCGACGACGACCACCGTAGACTCGGATCACCACCGACACGCAAACATCCCGATCATCGATCTCGCGGGGCTTTTCTCCGACGACCAGGCCCTCCAGACGGACAAGACGTCGGTCCTGGAACAGATCTCGGAAGCTTGTCGGGAGTGGGGGTTCTTCCAGGTGCTGAACCATGGAGTGAAACCGGAGCTTATGGACGGCACGAGAGAAGCTTGGAGAGAGTTCTTCCACTTGCCGGTGGAGATGAAACAGTGTTTCGCAAACACGCCGAAGACGTACGAAGGGTACGGGAGCAGGCTGGGCACGGAGAAGGGTGCAATTCTCGATTGGAGCGACTATTATTTCCTTCACGTTCTTCCTTTGCGTTTGAAGGACTTCAACAAGTGGCCTTCTTTGCCTCCTAACATCAGGTGATTTAATTATTTTCTTGATTATTATTTTACATTTGATTAAACTTTTTCATCTTAATCGAGAACAATACTATATATAGTACTCCCTCCGTTTTAAAATATTTGTTGTTTTAGATTGTTTCACATTTTTTAAGAAAATAGATCAAAAATTACATATACCTTTATTTGATGATAAAAAACAATGCAATCATTAATAATGTATTGGAATTTAGTGGGGATAAAATTGGAAATTATTATAAAAAAATGTCTTGAAAATGTAGAACTACAAATATTTTGAAACATAAAAAATAACCTAAAACTACAATTATTTTGAAATGGAGGGAGTATAATTTTGTTATAAAAAAAATACTATATATAATTTTTGTTTATATATGTTAAATATAGGTACGAATTAATGGGTATAAAAAGAAATTATTCAAAACTAATGAGTAAACCATGTTTGGATCTTCACAAAACTATTTGTATCATCTGTTTTTATTGAATTTTATTTCCTGTATTCGTTTTTTTTTTTGGAGTTTGAGGATAACCCAATTCCCCAAAAATTCTTTTTTTTTTCACGAGAATTTTAGCAGTTCGTGACTCGTGAGTATGACCTACTCAAAGGTACATTTAAATTTATCCCAGAGGGTACTGTAACGAAATACCGGTCATCAACGGTCCAAATATTCAAATCCTCCACGTTGTAACATAATCTACAGTGATTAATTAATTAATTAATTAATTAAACACGTTGTTGAACAGAGAAGTGGTTGACGAATACGGGAAGGAACTGGTGAAGCTAGGAGGGAGGTTAATGAAGGTGTTATCGCTAAACCTAGGATTAAGACAGGATCAACTCCAAAACGCGTTTGGAGGAGACGACGTTGGGGCGTGCTTAAGGGTTAATTATTACCCAAAATGCCCTCGACCGGAGCTAGCCCTCGGTCTCTCCTCCCACTCCGACCCCGGCGGCATGACCATTCTCTTACCGGACGATCAAGTTGCCGGTCTCCAAGTTCTCAAAGACGATGCCTGGATCACCGTTAAACCTCTTCCTCACGCTTTCATCGTCAATATCGGCGATCAAATCCAGGTAAATTAATTTATCATATTTCCTTTTTAGTGATATTTTCATAATATGGTAAAGAATATAAATAAAAACCTCACGTACCAAATCTTAAAATATATATTTGGGTACTGAAAAAATGTTTTTAATAAGATTGATATCCATTAAAAAAAAAGGAACCTGATTCTAACTTATATTTAATAGATCATAAACATGGATAACTAATTAACGTGATTCTAATTTGGATTTAATAGATTATAAATGAGTACGATGATTTATATAATTTACTTACAGATACATTGATTATACCATTTTTTATGAACTTTTGATATACAACATGATAACCACATGCACTCTTTACTAGAGGCAATATATATTGACTTGCAATATTTAATAATAGACAAATTAAAGAGAAGACATTACATATAAAATAATAATTACAATATTTATAGACTTGAATAAATTCTATGAATTACTACGTACTAATGTCCAAGTAGGATTCGTCGGACTAATTACATCCTATTTAGTAACACATACACCCTTATCATATATAGAAATATATGCGCGCGCAATGGCGAGAAGGAAAGGAGTATAAAAGAATTACATTATTATTATTTTTATAAGACTTGCAATAATCACATAATTCTATAAATAGAAAATTATATATGAATGTTTAAACTTTTACAAAACTCACAGATAAATATCTAAATTATAAAATTTTTATATAAATACCTAAATTTTCTAAAATCTTATATAAATACCTAGATTTCTAAAAAAAAATCTCAAATAAACTCAAAATCCGTTATTGACAATACCTATTTTTATTTGAAAAATACATGAAATTTGTATTTATTTGAAATTTTTTACAAAAATCTAGGTATTTATATAGAATTTTTAAAAGTTCAAATATTTATATGAGAGTTTTATAGTTCAAATATTTATCTATGATTTTTATAAAAATTTAGGATATTTATATACTATTTTTCCTTCTATAAAAGGTTTTCCATGATCTCTCAACGTTTTTTCTACGACCCATTCTCTGAGTAATTGTACTATGTATATATGTACTTGAATATTCTTCTGCATTTTCCAAGCTATATATATATATATATATATTAAACGAATGTCCCCACGTTTTAGACGTGTCTATATGTGTATGTATGTTGAGTAGTGCAACTTCTTGCCCGCTATATTTATAATGGTTTATGTCACTTTCATAATCGAGCAGGACACGTTGCTTTGGACTTTTATTAAATGAAATTGGAATTTATTTTTTCTAAGATGAAAAAGTAATTTATAAGGTCAGTGTCTCTGAGTTGTAGTGGCATCATTGACATTGACAAAAATGTTACACCCACAGCACAATCATAAATGTGTAGATGGATATGTGCACATGTCTTGTCATAAACCTAAAGAAATATATATATATATATATAATAATAATAATAGTATGAAAAAATCGTAAAAAAAACTCTGTATTTTTTAGATGTCGCCAAAAAAATCCTGTATTTTTTTATTACTAAAAAACCTGTACTTATACTTATTCGTAAAAAAAATCATGTATTTTTGAAATATTAGAAAAAAAAATTTGTACTTTTTTTAGTGCCAAAAAAACCATATACTTATAATTTATCTACCGAAAAAACCATGTACTCTTAAAATGTTAGACAAAAAACCTTATAGTTTTAAAAGTACAGGGTTTTTCCGGCGGATAAGTTATAAGTATAGGGTTTTTTTGGTACTAAAAAAAATACAAGATTTTTTTGTTAATATTTCAAGAATACATGATTTTTTCGGCGAATAAGTATAAATACAGGATTTTTTTAGTAATAAAAAAAAATATAGGATTTTTTTGGCAACCTTTGGAAAGTACACGTTTTTTTTTTGGCTATTTTTCCTAATAATAATAATAATAATGTGGTTGAGGATATTAATGGAGGGGTGTAGGTGCTGAGCAATTCAAGATGCAAGAGCGTGGAGCACAGAGTGATCGTGAATTCGGAGAGGGAGCGGCTGTCGCTTGCCTTCTTCTACAACCCCAAGAGCGACATCCCGATCCGACCCTTGCAGGATCTCGTGGGCCCCGGCAATCCCCCGTTGTATCCCCCCATGACCTTTGACCAGTACCGTCTCTTCATCAGAACTCGGGGTCCACGTGGCAAATCTCAAGTAGATTCTCTCCTATCCCCTCCCTGATTTTATTTTATTTTTGTTAATTATTTATACACATATTTCATGTTTTTGATTGTCGTACCTTTTATAATTTATTTAGTACTTATAAAAGTTGAAAAGATGTGTTTTGTTTTGTTCATACTCAAAACAATACCAAAGATATTCCGAGTGATGCGTATGGTCGATGTAAAATATTAAATATTAAAGTAATTAGTCTTTTTAAATTACTATATTAAACGTGCGTGACACTACTAATGACTTTGACGTGTCTCCGAGATATTATTTTTTTCCCTTTTCCCAAAGTCAATATTCAATCTTAGTACGCAGGAAATTAATTATACTTTAATTACTTTGTTAATAATGTATAGAAGAATAAGACAAAAATATTTTAAAACTTTCTTTTGCATTTCGGTGTCAAAATTTATGTAGTCAAATAAATATGTAAAATTGATTTTTGTTGTCTAATCGAATACCTAATTTGTTTTTTTTCCCTTGTATATGATTAATTTGCGAACTGTTTTCCATATAGAAGTAAAGAATAATTTTTCTTTTAATTATATTTTTAAAAAATAAATACAATATGAAATTAGATATACAAAACAACTCATTATTTTTTTAACCATTTAATATAGTTTTATATAAAAACATTAAAATACAAAACTTTTTAGACATTTTCTAAAAAATTAGAGGAGTGAAGAATGACTGTAACATCGGCTACGTAGCGACAAGGTTTGTTTGCTTTGTCCAATCCCAGGCAGTAGACTCACGCATCTCCCTGTCCCTCATATACATACATACATACACATATATACACACACATATATATTTGCTTTTTTTTTCTTTTTTTTTTTCAGTGTACTTATGATATACGGAAATGAAAAGATTAGTTATGAAAATCAAATCCTACACAAGATAATCCTCAAGACCTATAAAGATACACATAAGAATCTCCCTTGGAATCCAGCAGATATACAAACACAGAGACATTTTCATCAACACTTCTTCATAATTTAGGGAATCAAAGTTCTCCAACTATAAGCATCTTCTTCTTCTTCTTCTGAATGTTTTTTTAAAATAATAATTAGGGTTTTGTTTCCGGAGAGAGATGAGATCACTGCCTTCCCTTCTTGGCACAGCAAGAAGGGCATTTGTACTGCTTGATGCTCTCTGCTTTGGCCGGCGTTATCTTGACGCATTTTCCATGGTACCATCTTTCGCAAACGTCGCAGCATATCCAGAACTCGTCGTTCGTGTAATTTCCTCCGCAGCTCCCGCAGAGCGTGTCCCCATGCTCGTCTTCTTCTTCTTCTTCCTCCTCGTAGCTCTCTTCCTGCATTTTCGGGTTACTCTTCGCCTCCCCGTCGATTGATCTCTTCAGAACAAACACACACACACACACACACACACACACACACGTTATTTACAGTTGTTTAGGAGACACTGAGGTGATATAAATACGGGGAGATTGTTACCTTTGTTCCGTTTCGGGATTTGCTTCCGGAATCCATGCTTGGCTTGTCTTTTATGGGTTTTCCTCCGGTCACGACTTCGAAGAGGGTCGGGAGATCATTGATCATGCTAAACAGACGTTTCCTGCAAACCGAAAGGCTTATAAGGAAGCGAGGCATGGTTTAACAAATGGAGAAATGGAGGGTTAACTGGATTCTAGAAGGAAGGTTTCTCAAGAAAACATGACAAAAAAGGAAACCCTCCTCAGAAAATTATGCTTCCATTTTTGCCAGACTATAACAAAAGCATGAAGAGACAGACAAGACTTCAAAGACAACATGATTTCACTAGTTACTGCATAAAACTTCATTCTGAGTTGAATTCCTAAAGGACTACCGAAAGAAACTACGATTTCAAACAAGAAAGGAAAGAACGAGTAAACACAGCATGACTCAAGCGACCATGACCTTTTCCGGTTAGCTAGAACAAAACCCAGAGACAGTTTGAATCTAGAATGAAACCCATCAAATGTCCAGCACAATTGAACATAACTACGTCAAATTGATCATGCGATCCATGATAACCACAACAAGAATGTTCCAGTCATTGATAGAAAGCAATCCTGTGTGACAGTTATCCGAAATCAATCTTGTTCAATGAAGCTACAAGTAATCCTTTTTTAGAAGGTTTTTCCAGTTTCCCCCTTTGCAAACCTGGAATTCCCATGCAACATATTCATGCCTCAAGATATAAGCGTCTGAGTGTAACAAAGAAACGACAATATGTCACACCCTCTCAAAGATCATAGAGACAACGAAGATAAAAATTATTACAAGATAGCACATACCAAGCAACATAAGAGAACATTCAACATGACAAAACCAGTAATCAAGTTTCAACATAATGCAGTAGCCATTTTTATGATGAAGAAGTTGAAAAAAACTGATGCGACAAGGAAACTCTGAACTCATGGAATAGGAATACAATAGAAAGTCCAATATCCAAGAAAGATATGTAACACTGCCTAAGAAAGAAAGAAAGAAAGTTCTATATGAAAATCTCACTCCGATCTCGTTCAATACATCATTGCTTCTCCTCTAGCTTCTAGTCAATTCATTGATAGCAGTAAGAAAACAAAAGGGTTGACATACTGTCTCATCATTCAATTCAAAGGCTACCATTTGCTATGATTCGAGGAAGGAAACTCTAATACAACCAATAAAGCAAGCGCCTTTTCCTACACACCACACATCCATACAAGAACAACAAAACCCATATGAACAAAGCAAAAGAAGTAAGAGTTACGAGATCGAATTTCTGTGACGAGGCTCGCTTAAAGACAAGCTCATCAACGCATCAGACATACCTCTCGTTACGATTAAGCCGAGCTCCAAAGTAGAAAGAGACGGAGAGCAACCAACAATCACTGTGGACAGCAACTAGGGAAAGCCAATCCTTTCGTTGCATACCATCCCGAGCAAAATTGATTCCGAGCGCTGGCTCTGGAAGCTCCGGAGGCACTTCCTCCGCCGGGAGATTCACATCCCACGACTCATTCGGGTGTCCGTACAAACACAAATTCTCCTTCTCTAAAACCACGAAGCACATCATGAAAAGAGAAATTCAACAAGTGGGCACATCACAAATTTCGCTGACGTGAAGGATCAAATGTCATCAGAAAATACTAAACTAAGAAAAAGGGTTTCCTAATCTGAAGCTTATCCACAAGATTTTCACGGAAAAAAAAGGTCACAAACCCGAAACTAACAAGGAAAAAGCTTACCCGGATCGCATTGAGAGTAGAAATCATCCACATCTGTAAAAACAGCCAAGAAAAACACCGTGAGAAAAAAAGCCAAAGGAGCACGCATGCCGACGAAATCTGGGAATTTCAACGGAAAGTGTTTTCGTGTACCTTTGGTGAGAGCGCGAACAAGAGCGGAGCGTCGAGCGGTGAAATCCTTGAAGATCTCTTCGACGGTGCGAGGGTTAGAGGAAACAGCGGCCATAGATGTACAGGAAGAAGGTACACGACCCTATATACGGTCTATATACGTACAAAAATGCGTAGATCAGTGCAGGTAGAGACGGATCGAGGTAAACATAGGTGGTTTCAGAGACCCATGGAGAGAGAGAGAGAGAGAGAGAGAGAATAGAGAGGAGATGGAAGAGGAAGAGAAGACGAAGAACGAAGAAAAAAAAGTTTTTTTTTTGTTAGGTTAGTTTGGTTGCGTCAGCAAGAAGGTTTTGTAACGGGAGATGCGTTGATTTTTAAGTGGCCACTTATTTGAGCTCTTATTGGGCTGATATTAATGGGCCTATTTTAGCCCAATATCAATTTTATAAAAAATAACCAGCCGAGTCTTGAGACGACGCCGTTTTATTTTTCACCTAAAACAACCACGTGCATATTTCCTTTATACACACACACATTAATGTGCATATGTATATAATATATATAGTTTAACATATACGATAAGATGGACATGTAAATTATCAGACCAAGACGGAAATAGAGGCAAGATCATTAGAGCAAAAAACATAATCACCACCATATCAGCCTCCTCCTCTTGTCTTGAGCTCTTTTTGGCCACAACTAAAAGATGGTTCAGACATCACACACGTGTCCGTGATTGAACTCCGACTTCACATAAATAAAATCATTTCAAATCTCTATAACACCGTTCCGAACATTATTACCGGCACACGTTGACCCAAAAAAAAAACATTCGAATGTGTAAAAAAAAATGTGTATATTCGCGGTCAGATTCTAGGGTACCTTCTTGATTTCAGTCTTTGTTCTTCCAACTGGTTCATCCAATCGTTGAGCCACAACAGACCCTTGTAGCCACAGTACGAAACAGCAGCCAAAACAACGATGAACATGACGAACATAACTACCTTCCTCGCCGTGACAACGAGCTTCTGCAGTTCCCCCCCAAAAAAAAACCGGTTTTTCGTTTTCAGATGATGAATGATGAAGATAAAGTAAGTTAAAGTTCATGTCCTTTCGGGTTTTGAGAAAGACAGGTTTTACCTGCAGCCTCGACGTCTGTTTCGCCTCTTGACCCCGTTCACGCCTCTTCTTCCGCTTTGGCCCGTTTTTCTCGGCGGCTGCTTCTACCTTCTCCTTGACGTTGTTTCAGTCATCAGTTAAACCGACACATATTCACAGAGATTCGGGAACAGAAGTGAAAAATCAAGAAAGTTTAACGCGGTTTTCTTACATCGGCCTCTTTGGGTTTGCGTTGTTGCAAGGTCGCTTCAGCCGCCCGTATTTTGCTCATGCAGTCGGCATTGCAAGGCAGAACACCAATTCCGAACCGATTCTTTGGGATATCTTTGGGGTCGGAACCTTTGTCCCGATACATTGCTTGTACATCTTGGCAGAACAACTCTTTCTTCACGGTTTGGCATTTACAACGAACAATGACCTTGGATCATCATCATCATCATCAACATCGAGAAAAATACGTTAGGAACGCGAAAAAAAAAAAGCACAGGTTTATGCCGCTATGCATAATGCATTCGAAATATTTCTTCCCGAAAGTTTTTACCTTTTTACCACACTTATCGGGTAATGGACACTGCCCAGGATGACATATCTCCGGACACAAATGAGTACAGTTTTGCATTTTCCTGCATCACAGATAAGATTTAGTTTTTAAAACGATCAATCCTCTAATCACAATCAGAATATGAAAATGCCAAACCCTGTTTAAATGGGTTACAGTTCTTTAGCATGTTATTACCGGTGGCAGGGTCCGCCACAAGAGCGGACTTTGATTTGGTCTTTTTCGGACAAGGTATTGTAGGATATGCACTTGAAAGCATGCACCATCGTGCCACAATGGCATGATCTCTTTATCAAAACTTTGCAAGGAGGACAATCCCCTGGATGGCATGGCAGAGGACATGGATGTTGGCATTGCGGGCTTCTCTCCTGTGCATTACATTCCATAGTGAAATATAAGACTAACCCATTTCTTCTATTTCCTCGACAAAACTTCTCAAAGTTACACGATGACGACAAAGCATTTCAAGATCCAACCACCACCATGAAGAACACAAGGGGAAAAAAAACTGAAGCAATGGTAGATATTGGCAGCACCTGTTCACAAGGGAGATCACACTCTTCACAGTCAGAGCCAGAGAGCAGACTTCTTTTATCCGATCCAGACACTGAACTCCGAACTTTCAAGGCGTGACAGGTTCTCGTGCAGTAATGGTTCCCGCAGGGAAGAGGATTTCCGCATAAGTTATCACATGTGAATTGGGTTCTATCCGAGCAGACCATCTGACCAAAAATAAAAAAGAAGATAAAACCAAAACCATAATGAAGATGAGGGGAACATATCATATAGATTGACATATATGCATGCCCCCAAATCAACCGGAATATTGAGTGAAGGAGACTGACCATTCTCTCTGCTCCCAGATGCTGGCCGACACAAGGCTTCCAGAGAAACTCCGGGCAAGGAGGGCAAGGAGAACCAGGAGTACTTTCACTATGAATGTTCAACTTCTTTTTTGTTGGTTTTACAATGAATTCCACTTTAGGTGGAGGTCTAGGGCCATGACACCTATACCACAAAAAAAGAAAGACATAACAAAACTCGTGTTGGGAAGAACCTTCGTTTAAAAAAGCGCGAGGTGTTCAAGGCGCAAAAGGTCTAAAAAACCGAGGCGTGAGGCGAAGGCGCACGCCTCAGAGATACGAAGCGCAAAAATATTTCTATTGAATAAATAAGAATTAAATAAATAAAGCTTTATAAAAAAATATAAAATTATATTCAAACATTAAATTAAAATTATATTTTTTAAAAATTATTATATTTACAGTGTAGTTATTAAAAATCTAATGAAAATAAATTGATTTCAATTAAAAATTATAATATATTATTTTATTATAGATTAGTATTTATAAAAACAATAAATGAATATTTATAATAATCAATTAAAATTTATTAGGTATAAAATACTTTATTTATTAATTAAAAATTATATATATATGTATATATATAAATATTTTTTACACCTATACCTACTACCCAGTGTAATTATTACGTTGTATCAAAAGTTAGCTAAAATTAATAATTTTTTAAGTTTCTCCATATTATTCATCTTCTTCTTTGTCTTTTCATCTTCCAAATTATACATTTTTCTTTTTATTTGTCTCATCATCCTTGATGAGGAGCCTCGCGCCTACATTTATTGCAAAGAAGAACTACATTTCTAGCCGCTTTCTGGAACTCACCTTATTTTTAGTATGTGATGCGAAATTTTAAAGGCATCAGCGTTTCTGCGCCTCAGGCGCAGTTAAGGCGCGCTTTTTTAATCCAAGGGAAGAACGGGCAAAAATCACAAAGTCGGATGGTAAAACTATTACTAAGAGCAAAAAAAAAAACAGAGTGAAGAACCTTAGTCTGCATTTGTGCCCACATGAGAACTCTTCTTCACAAGGCAGTTTACAAGGGGGACAAGCACCATAGTGGCATCGATGTGGCTGCATAATGCATAAATGTCATAATAAATTACAAATATAAACAATAAAAATCTTGTTATAGTTATGATGAAAGAAGTGTGTAAATACCTTGATGATTGGTCCATGCCTGCATAGTGGAGTTACATGGCACAACTTTCGGCATCTTGGGGGTTTCTGATCTGTTTCAGTGCCACAAGGAACCTACAAAAACATCCACATAAGATGTCCATATATATATATATATATATATGAAATATACACATAATAAAGTCTCAAGAATCAGATTTTGGTTTTAAGAAGTGACAAGAGAGTCATTTTAATTGTAGGTGTAGCTGCATCATTCAGCTATAAGAACTTCTCATAGAGCTAATGCAAAGGGACTCAAAACAAATTAAGAAGCCAATAAAAAAAAGTTCAATAGGCCACATTGTCTTTCGCATAATGAATCTCACCTCGAAACGTGTCTCACCACATGCGCACGATATAGTCACCATTATCGGACAAGGAGCACATGCGCCTCTACAAAGAAATAGTGACAGGTTACAATAACATGACCTTTAGTTCAATCACAACAACCTTAAAGCAATCCTAACCTAGAAGAGACAAAACAAACCCCAAAAGTACAGATATTGATATAAAAGTCACAAGAAAAGAGATGCATTGAAAAAAGGCAGCCACAAGAAATAGCTCAGCTTCTAATGGAAAATCTTAAAGGAACCTCCAAATGAAACTACTAAAGGACATACTGGTGACAAGGAGAAGGGCATTTATGATTCCTGCAACGGAGCCTCCTTCCGCAAATCTGAAAACTCGAAATATTTCAGTGGCCAAAGTAATGCCGCATGAAATTTGAAACCAGACAAAATGACAGAACAGAACATACCTCAGAGCATGGAGGGCAGTCCCCATCACAACAACGACGTCTACAAGCATGCCGACCACAGTCTCTCACTCCCTGACACTTCCTCTCACACACCAGCTCTTGATGGCAAGGAACCTACTATAAATTAATTTTACAATACAACACCCTCCCATCAACATTTAACTGATTCAATCAACAATAAGGCATGACCGATTTGCAAAACATTCTGGTATACAAAGAAAGAAGCTATCTTTAACCTGTTTTCTCAACCCTCCACACCTGCAAGACTTGGTCACCACAATCCTGCAAGTCTCGAGGCACGGCCCGCGGTGGCACCTATCAGGACACCTGTGGTAACCGCAAGCAAGAAGTTTATCGCAGGTCGAGCCACATAATGGCGCAGTAACATCACAAGCCAACCCTTGGTACATTTTCTTGCCACAAGGACAAGTTCTCTTCCCCTGATACGGACATAACCCACATTTTTCCGAATGACAACCTTTCTCACAGACATGTCTACCACAGTTAAGCATGTTCTTACACTCAGCCTCACACCTGAAAACCCTGTCACAGCAGTCTCTCTCCTCCTTAACCTTATCACAGCAGCAGCTGTAAACTGCGCGTTCCCTGCACGGTGGGCAAGCCCCATCATGGCAAATCTCTTTACATCTATGAACATCACAGTCTAAGACCCTATTGCAGGCGTTTCCGCAAGAGAATTGTTTGTGCCCACATCGACGAACGTCTTCGACGCCGCCACAGAAGCATAAGGCCTTCACGAGCTTCGGGCAGGGAGCACAGGGACCAGGATGACACAAGAGCAAGCAGCAATGGCCGCAGTTGTTGCTCAGAGGCCGACCACAGACCTCGCCACAAGAATGAGGTAGAATCCAAGGGTTATCCCCCGGAGGATCCTCTTCCTTTCCGCAGTAACAGATATACCGACGGGGGATCTCCGATTTGCCGTACGAAGATCTACACTTCGGGCAGTTCCAGACCGCCGTGTCGGTGTCGGAAGCCGACGATCGCGTGGCGGCCCGCGCAGCCTGGAGATCTAGAGACTGGCGAGCCCATGACTGGATGCAGACAAGGTGAAAGACCGCGAAGCAGAGAGAAGTGCAGGACCAAGTGGGATCGGTCCGCCTGATGCGCTCGAGACAAATGAGGCAAGAGAGAGCACCAGAGGAGGAAGAAGCCAGGAAAGATTGGATCTTCGCGAGGTCAACGGAGGAGGGAGACGACGAAGAATGGCATTCGAGGTATGCCTTGAAGATGGAGTTCGAGAGATCATCGTGGCGGTTGTGATGGATATCGGAATCAGACCCGGAATCCGAATCGGTATCGGAAACGAGATGCTGAGGTTGCGGCGGAGGCTGACGGCGGAGATCAACAGCGGGTCCAGCCATGTTCGGCGTCGTCGCTCATGAACGCGATGGTATTTGATTATTTAGGGATCCGATCGGCTAAATCACTCAGATATACCAAACTGTCGCAGGAGTTTGTCGGATACACCAAAAAAAAAATATAACCCATTAAATTTGTTTCAAAAAATCATATTACCTTGTGTAATTATAATTGTAATATGTAATTGATTCTAAATACAATTGCAATTGATTCTAAATACAGTTGCAATTGATTCTAAATAAAGTGGCAAAAAATACATCTAATTGTTTACAAGATCTTTAGTTGTTATACGATCGTAAATATTTTTTTTAGTCGTATATTAGTTATATAACAGTCGTAATAAAATCGTAAAATCGTAAAAAATATGAAAGAAAGATTATTTCGTATTTTGTAAAACCAAAAGTGGTATAGAATTGAATTTTTTTTTTTTTTGGGTGTATAGTTGAAATTGTTGCGAGCACTATTTGAGTGATTTTCCCGATCCGATTAGGGGGAGGAGATCACGTGACATCCTTGTGACTTAACGTCCGTCACTTGTTGACGTCATCGTAGTATCGTACACGTGTTTGCGTCCGCGTTGTCTTAATAGAAACTCGAAACCATGTCATATTAAATTTTTGATAAATGTTTTTGGGAAAATATCAATGCGTGAACTCACATCGGTTTGAATTTACTGTCAAGGTCATCGGGTTCGGTTAAGTAAACCGAATCGATCTAACCGAATACAATATCTGAAATCGAATACGACACGACAATGGAATGATTATAATTTTTTTTAAACGGAAAATGCAAACTCCGAACGAAATACGAAAATAACCCTAAAATCTAAATAAAACTGAAACTTTTAAAGATTAACAATATTTATTGGAATCGAATCCAGCGTAAATAGATATAAATTTTAAAACCGAAAATTTTGAATTTGAACCGAACCGAATGACTTTTTATGCCGAAGTATAAATTTCTGCAACGACATTACCAATCTGATCAAAGAGGCATAAACTATTTCAATGTATAAATTCTTCCGAATAAAACATTTTTAAGTTCAAACAAAAGGAAGAACTCTATATATATTTTAGGTTATTCTTGCGTCCAGCAACCGCAAACGTACGTAGCGTTTTAGCGGTCACGCCAATCGCAGTGTCTGCTCAATCACTCCCCTCTTCCTCCTGAACAATACCAAAGAACCATATTTGCATAAAGATGTCCCAGTACATTGCCATAATACAACGAAATGCAGTTACGTTCCGTACGATTTCGTAAAGCTTTTGATCGATACCGAGCGTTTAGTCCCATTGATGATCCCAGAAATAAGTCCATTCCGAGGAGTTTAGTGTACTTTTTCCGTCAGCCGAGACGAGATCGTAAGGCGAGTTCTCCGAGAATTCAGTCGGCATAGACTTCCAGTGAAGCGACGGATCCCATTCCGCTTCTTTGATCACTCTCAAGATCTCAGCCGCCACCAATTTGCTTCCCTCAGCAGACAAATGAATTCCATCTCTGTAAGAAAAGAAAGACAGAACGACAAGGAGGATAAAGGATTTATGTCGTAACAGGGAATCCATAACTGAGCTGTCTGACAAATATGTGTCTTTCTTCAGAGCTTGATTGTTTGGAGTGATGACAAACCCGGGACCTAGTTTTTCGGGATATCAAACAGGTTTGGAGGGCATGTACTACTTACGTGAAGCAAACGGTTTCCCAGTCATCCGGTTTCTGAAGAGTAGAAAAGAGATCAACAACTTGCAAGCCGAGTTCCTTGCACAGATCCACGCAAGCATCCGAATACTTTTGGCAGAGCTCGTTTGTGCGGATTACTTCACTTAGGTATGGACTGACGAGGAAAAAAAAACAATGGAATAAGATATTGAAACGCACAACACAGCATAGATGGCAAGGATACGAGGAAAACCCACCTTTGGTTCTGGCGAACTTTGGCTTCATCCACGGGTGGGCAGCTAAGAACGATTATACGTGTCGAATCTGAAAGACTCTGAACCGGAAGAACGGAGCATTAGAATGTAAGAAGTGTGATGTAGTTACAGAGGCAAACCAATCTAGCAAATCATGTATGCCAAATAAAGGGAATGAGTAATATTGATTGTATACAGAATATCTTTGCTTATCTCCTCGCAGCTTTACACACAACTTAATCCTAATCACATTCTGCTTTCTGAAATTACCATCTCTAAGGATAGTTTCACAAAATTCGGTAACAAAAGATTAATTGTTAATCTTCACGAGACACCGGTTAAATATGATCGGAAAAAGGTAGATAGGATCTCAAAGAAGTACCTTCAGATGAAGTGCGATCTTTCTCATGTTCTCAACGTATTCATTAAGCGGTACGTGTGGCCCTAGGCCAGAAGGGTGAGGAGCCATCGAATCATTTCCTCCGAAATAGACAATTACCAAAGAAGGTTGTACTGCAGCATCCTACACCACAATTTACATAAAGCGTACGTTCATCCTACCAAATTCTAAAATACAGATACATGGATATTTACAAAGCCTGTTAATAAGCCCCTTTTGGAGTCTGCCACATTTTCTGTAAAAATCCAGAAAATTAACAGAAAATTAACCATAAGGTTCCACTACCTGTTTTCTCCAGAACTGGTGATGCAATATTTACTTAATGAACCAAGGAAATCCAGACCAGACACACAAGAGATATGTCAATGCCTACTACAGGGGCAGAAATCATAGTTACTTAATCCAGAACATGTGAATAAGCAACTGATGCTGAACTTAACAATGGCAGAGGTTCAACTAATCAAATAAGGTTTCTATAGAATTCCACACACGAAAATAGTGAAACACACAGCTGGAGTGAACCAGGCAGGTCACCTCTGATTTCATCGAAGAACAATATGAAACTAATGCCATTCTACAATGGGATGGAAAGTGGTAACCATTCCTTGCTCGAAGATGGAAACACAATTTCACAGTACCTTGGGGAACACTTTGTCCACGACTTCAACAGCACGTCTCGAGTTCCATCCATAATATCCTCGCAGAATAACGTCAGCCTAGAAACAGTTTCTACCAGTCACAATTTGCACATGAACAAAGAAAAACAAAGGCCCGATATTGACTTCTTCCATATATATTTTCATGAGCCCCCTCCAATTCAGCGGTAACACCATTTGCAATGTATGCGATTTAGAATCGTGTATTTGCATCATCCTATTGAGTTTGATAACTGATGCTACTTGATCACTTTGGAAGACAAAATTATGCATTCGCTTGAAAGAAAGAAAGAAAGAAAGAAAGAAAGAAAGAAAGAAAGAAACCCCAAGATTATCCAGAATCATCATCTAAAATTCAAGAACAAATCGACATGAAAAATTGGGGGAAACCAGTACTTAGGAATCAGAAATTTCGAATTTACAGCAAATAATGTCTCAAAAGAACAAAACAACAAAATATACATGGAATAAATGAAAAAGTGTTCTGATCGCGATAGAGAGAGAAAGAAACCTTGCGAGCGTAGACCTCGGAGAGAATGGCGCCCCAACCGCCATGGCCGAAGCTCATTTGAACGATTGAGGATCCAAAGAGCACAAACTGAGGCCGCGCCGGTCCCACCATCTTCCCTCCCTCTCCCTCAACAAACGCCTCCGTTAACCGCCGGCGAGATCTCTCTCTCCCTCAACAAGCACCGCCGCTGTCGTTATCCGCCGGCGAGATCTCTCTCCCACTCGATTTCGCCGTCGCCACGAATTTAAACAAACACATAACAAACGTTTCGTTGAACAAGTTATAACGAACGATAAAAATATTTACCAGAAAAAACAACTAAATTTTTAAAATTTAAAAAAAAGGAAAATTACGTTACGGGAGCTTCAATTTCTATACTGAGCAAGTTGTGACTTATCTTATCTTTCTAACGGATGCGTTAAATATGTTGTTTGATTATAAATATTTAAAATATTTTATTCTTCGTAATCATTCATCATTTACGTTTTGAATCATATTTTAGCTTTAATAATAAATTTTAATTTCGGGATATTTAATATATAGATGGAATCTTTGATATTTTATTAATCGTAATCAGTGTTTTAAATCATTTGGATATCTTTTTATTTTTTTGGTAAAGCAGTTGGATACCTTATATCTTCTGATTATCGATTTAAAACTATTGTGAATATTTTTTATATACTTATACGATAATTTTCTATAAATTTAGATGATAATAGTAATAACGGTCGATTACATAACTTAAATAAAAGTAAAAATAAATAAATAAATTTGTAACAAAGCCTATGTAACGTAGAGTCGTTGGTACAAATCCAACAGTAGATACAAGAAAGATAAGACTTATTAATTTCTTAGTCTTACGTGTTTGTTTATCACCCAACCTCCATCTGCACACACATTAAAGGCAGGGGAGAAAACGTCTAAAAAAAATATATTTGTAACCAAAATGACATATAATTTTTGAGCGGATAAAAAAAATAAATAGAATAATTTTTTTAATATTTCATTAATCACATCCAATAAATTTGGAATGAAATCGAAAATAAAAGGATTTAATATGGAATAAAATCCGGAATAAAAAATTGAAATCGAATATATATATATATATATAGTTTTTTTATAAATTCAAAATTATCAAATCAAAATATAACTAAAATTAATTAAATCTATGATTCAGAGTTTACTTTTAATCATGAGCAATTTATTTTTAGTTCATGTTGTACAGTAAGCGAGCAAGTTTTTTGGGAACAATTCGCTATAATTATGGACATTTTAGCTGTAATTATGAGCAATTTATTGACAATTTGTTTACGTTTTATGCAAAATAATTCCGGATAAATTTAGAGATTAGACGATTTTGTGGTATAGAAAATAATAATAATAAATCGTTACAAAAATGTGTATATTATCCCCAACACCTTTGAAAAATAAAAATATATTCTCCACCAGTAACATACTTCTGACAAAATGTGCAATAAATATGCACATTCATATGGTATAACCAGAAACCACAACTAGTTATGTATGCATGCATATGCTTAAAAAAAATTCAAAGTTGGTTATAAAAATAAAAAATAAATTTGGTGGGGATTAAGAGTAAATTGTTAATGGGCAGATAAATGGTGGCCAACCATAACTTGGTCCACCATATTCAATTGAATGCTCGTTCATCACATTTCATTGATTTTATAATTATAATAACCATAATAATATCCTAAAATTCTCCTTCTTTCGATCACAAATTTAATAATCGTGTAACATCCCTCTAATGCATTAAAGGGATTGGGACACGTGATTTTGTAATAACATCTCTAAGACTCTAATACATCAATTTTGTTATTTTTGAAAATTTTATTTCCATTCTGTTTTTATAGATCTAGATTCCATTTGAATTTTAATTTTACTTAAAATAATTATTTTTAAAAGATATTTTTATTTTCGGTTGCTTTTTGCTGTTTTCACATTCGTTTCGTATTCGATTAATTTAATTGTAGGGTATATAATCTTTTTTAGATTAAATTCAATTGAAACATATTTATATATTATTCCATGCCGCTGGTAACCAGTTATATTTTGTTTTGGATAACCCATATTTAGATTGATTTATGTGAGTAAAAAGTGTGGAACAAATTTTTGTTTAAATAAGCATACACCAGTAACCCTAATGACCACTTTTTTGTTGTGCAATAAATGGCCATCAATTTAGTTAACCCCAAAAAAACATATGCTAATAATAATTTTTTGCAGTTAATTAATTTAATCGATATAAAATTACACACTTGTGATGTATTCAGTTATCAGTATGGGTTGTGATCCTTCGTAACCACAGTTGTAGCCCTGATCCCCCCCCCATAATTTATTAAATACTAAGTTTAATATCAATACAAACCAGGCTAATCACTTCGATTATTAACCGAATAAACAAACCGAATCGAATAAGATATAACCGTACCTAAACCCAATCCGACATCAAAATCGAAAGGTTATAATTTCTTTAAACCCAAAAAATCGAAATTGAACCGAATAAAAAAATAAACGAAAAAACCGATAATTTCTTTGAAAAAATGATTTTTCTACCGAAACCGAACCGAACCAAAATTTATATAAAAATCGAATGGTTATAGTTTTTCTACAACCGAAATATCCGAACCCGAATATAACCGAACCGAACTCGAACCGAAAACCGAAATGGTCACCCCTAATATTACCGACATTCCCAATCATAAAAAGCCAAAGCAAAAACTCTAATAAAGTTCCACTTCCAATTTCCAACAACTTCCTATGCTTTCGGAGATTAAAACCAAAGCCTAAGTGCCAAGTCCCTGGAAACCACAAAAAGTTTAAGAAACAATGGAACCACTTTCAAAAATCTAAGGCTCCAGATTTTGAGGAACCGGAGCAGCCACCGGTTTGGGAATAGGATCCACCGGTTGAGCCGTCTACGGGGGCTTGGTTCAGACACTCGAGAACCAAGAATCTTCTCTTCTGCAGGCTCATTGAGTAAGTTGTTGCCTCAAGAATTACAGGCACCTGATCAAGGGAAAAAAACGTTTCAGACAAAAACCAGTTAGGACCGGAAAATGAAGATCATGTTTCGATGTTTCCTGTTTGATTACTCTCTCTCGTTATCCATGAATGATCCTTGTCGCAAGATGAAATGAGAACTTTCGGAATTTTTAAGAGGTCTTTGCTCATATCTCCTATGGTTTAGTGATATATATCGAGAAAGGATGCAACACACTAATGGGTTCTGGATAACGTGTATAAATCGAGAAATCCTATTTTCGGTACCTGGGTATTGAATCGGGCAACCTTGTGGACGTTGAGGAACCCGTTAATGTCCTTGTAGCCAGTGAGGAGTTTCTCCAACTCCTTGTCGCCATCTGAAAGAAGGCACTTGTTAGAAATTACCCGACACACACAACATTGTGGATAAGGAGAAGAGAGCAAGAAAAACGAACCTGGAATAGCTCGGATTGAGAGTAAGGTGTCTGCCATGTGCTGAAGTCTTTTAGAGGAAGACGGGGAGAGCAGAGAAGGAGAGAAAGTCACGATGGCCACGGCATTCGATACCATCAGCATGCTTTTCAGAGATTTTATGAACGAAAGCATGTCCCATTCCTGAGTCGACAAACCAGTGGTAACTTAAAAAAGGAAATTGATCTGATAAAAAAAATGTTTTAAGGAAATCTACAAGAGAAATGGAGCGTTTCGCAAAGGTATTTAACGAAAGACAGAAGCTAGATGAGATCAAAATGATCCTATAGTTACCTTGTCTGAATACTCGCACAGTGGGGAACAGAAAGACTGGATAGCAATACGACCAGCGGATGCAATGCTAGTGCTGCTTCTGAGAAAACCATCATACAGTTCTTAAGAAAATCAGGAAGCCGCATATCAAAACTAAACATAATCCTGAAAAAGAATTGTGTTGACTAAAAAAATATCGGAGAATGAAATTACTGGCAACTCGTGTATCATTGGGCAGACAGCAGTTTGTTTGCCCATTGCAATAATTTAGCAGAGACTAAAAGTCCCTTGCAGTGAAATAGCACATCTCAAAACAGTTTTCCACAGAAAAACATGCAAGTATACTACCAAATTGCATGGACTTTTCTGAGCTTGAGAGAAAATTTAACATCAAATGTGAAAGGCATCCCGTACAACCTTTGGAATCGTGACAAAAACTTTGCACAATGGTCTTGAAGGACAGAAAGATCCGAAGAACCTAACAGACTCACACAATCTATTGGTCGTCCACTAAGAAATTGCCTCTCCAAGGGCTTCCTCATATCGAAGTCATTGGAATAATCATCTGAACCAGAGCAAGAAAATTAGAATGATGTTCCATGGATTTCCGTTAAAATACAACAAGAATACTAAAAAGAACTCCTCCTCAGCTTAGATGCATATTCAGGTCTAATCTCTTGGGAAAAAAATGCAGCAGAAAACCATAGAACAGAACTAAATAGATTACCACCAGTATTCTTCTGGTTTTCCAAATACTTCCGATACTGCCAAGCAATCCTCAAGCTCTCTCCCTACAATTTTGTTAAAAAGGTGAACTCTACCCAGTTCTTAATAACTATCCATGCGAAGAAGCAGTAATAGAAATGATGCAGAGAAAGAGCCAAAGACAAGAAGTACCTGATCGGGATTGGGTGCACTAGGTCTATCCTCTTTAGATGATGCAGGATGAGGCAGAGTTCCCAGAAACCCTCTCGGCTCATTGGACGGACTAGCATATAGAAGAGATTGATTGTTTACAAGTCCCTGAGACATGAAAGTTCTTAACAAATCCATGTGATGGGGTGCTTCAGGATCTTCCATCACCATAACTAAGCTTCCCAAAGGGTAACCCCCTCCTAGTATTCCTGTAACCAAAGCAAATACAATTAGTCAAGCACCGAAAATGAAATACCTTATTGTAAAGATAACTTGTCAGCAATTCAACTACATATTTCCCGTAGTTATATGGCATTTTAAAACAAACAGATGAAAATGAGAAACCTTACTGTCCAGATCACATATGCCGGAAGATATGAAGGTTGTGCCATTAGGACCGCACTTGAGACCGGGTATCTGAGGCGAGGAAGCAACTGATATGTTGCGAGAGAAGCTGCTCGCCCGAACGTTGGGTGCAGCCATAGCCACACTACGTCGCTACACAAGTAGCTTCTTCTGTCTCTTGGTTTTCAGAATTCCAGAAGCCAAAATCGAATTAAATCATAATCAAGAAAATAAGTGCTGATGCTAAGGACGCGGCCTATTCTAACATTCTTACTTCCAGAAAAATAAAACCCAGAAGCAAAACATCAAACGGCCTATCAGAGATTCTAATAGAAACGACAAACATACCAAAAATCTTAGATATTCATAATGAAGTTCCACTTCTTACTCATTCAGGCATTTCATCGAACATCTATCTCGTACAAACTACAATCCTCAAGACAATATTAACAACTTACGACATGAACTAGCTAGTGAATTATTGTTCAAACCCAGAACTCAGAAATGATATATCAATTTGAGTTTCAGCAAACAGAAACGAAACATATGAATATATTGCCAACCCACGCTCTCTGAGTTGGATTTCCCGGGAAAAAACGAGGTCCACAGGAAATCGGTTTCAATCTTTGAAATTTACCTGTTTTCTTCAACTTGATCAAATAGAAACTTCAGGGCTTATTACTTTTCTCGTCTTCGTCGTCTTCACAGTCCTCTGCAGCCCCAGGAGAAGGGGAAGGCTCAGGAGGAAGAAAATGGCGAGCCCAAGTCGAACAACTACGTGCAGTTTTTTCTCGTATCCACTGTCGTTTTCTCTGTTCTGAAACGGCAGGTATGTTTTTTTTATGGTCAGTTATTACTTCTTGTACATTTTCTTAGAAGTTATGTTGGGCCGTTAATGGGCCCAATCTCGTTAGAGTTATTAGGCCCAACTATAAAACGGCTTTGTATTCAGACTTCACTGCAGTGTTGTTTCGGCTTCGCCTCCGTCGCCTCCCGCTCTTTTGCATCGCCACGAGAGAGATTCAGCTTCGAAGATCAGGGGGATATGGCGGAGAAGGAGGAGGTAAAGTGGGTCTCGCTCCCGGACCATCCGGTTTCCGATTCTTCTCCGGCTGCTTCCGACGACGAAGCCGTCGCCGGCGAGCAGCGGTTTCCGAAATAACCTGACCGGCGTGGGATGGAGCTTCGAGGCTCTAATTCTGAGATCCAAGACGATGTCTTCTTCACCGTCGATCTCTTCGCTCGGGCGATCCTGAATCCACCCCCGTCCTCGCTGCAGGTCCCTGCCAATGTCTCTCTCTATATGTGTGTGTGTGTGTGTGTGTGTGTGTGTGAATCAATAATGGAGCTTTACAATGATTCAAATATCTTTGGCTCCAATTCAATAGCAGCTAGCAATTGTAATCTGGCAGTCACTTGGTTGGAAGCTACATTTCCGGATTTATCTGAACAAGAAGCAACAAGTGACAAGACTGCCTTTTAACTCATCCACTGCTTGAACTGAAATGATGATTGATGGACAATTGGCAGATTGATGCTCTGGCTGATGACGAAATCCAACCAGTATGGATCTCTGATAGTTCATCTCGTCTTGAGCATGAACAGAAAATATCGAGATGAAACAGTCTCTCTTGGAGAAAAGGGTAGACATTGCAATTCAAACGCATGATTCTCTCCACCCGAATGCGGTTTCATCGTTTCGTTTCCACAAATCTCGCAGTTTTTATGTACTCGTGGTTCTGAAAAATGACGAGAGATCGGCTCGGGTTGTAGAACTTTTCTCCTTCTCGCCTCGCCAGTGTTCATCTTCGATATCGATATAGATTCGATGAATATAATTCAGCATTTTTTGCAGGCATGGCTTGGAATTTTCGACATCAATGGCTACCATCTCCTATGGAACTTGCAACGTAAGCAACAAAAGGCAAGCAAAAGTTCTATTCACAGGCTTAGGCTTTATATATATATTTCGATTTTCAATATAGTAAGCATCTCTTATTGTATCTCTCTTATCCAATCTCTAGGAAGAACGAACCTAAATCCGGAAAAAACGCTGCTCTATCGTTTCATCAAAGTCGCCTAGGAGCGATCTCTATGCTGCACGATGATGGGATACCGCTTCTGCGTCCGCGTGGTCGGGAAGAAAACCAGCTTATCTTCCTCTGCCGGAACCCAACTGCTCGGAATCAGACAGATACGAAACTCAGGAAAGCTGTCTGAAATTCTCAGTATGCATGGATTAGGGTTACGGAATATAGGAAGATTACCTGAACCGGGTCACGAGGTGGTGAAGGAAAATCGAGAGTTCAACCCTAGCTAGCTCGTAACCGGGACAAAGCCTCGGCCCTCCTCCAAAGGGTGTGAATACGTTGTAAGGGCTCGTCGTCACCGAGTCGCTCTGCTCAAAAGTTCAAGACCCTCGAAAATCAACTGAAACTGCGAACCAGAGAATGGGCAGGCTGATACATTTGATCGAAAACGAGGAATTTACATACCTTCCATCGCCATGGGTTGAAACTCCGAGCGTCTTTGAAATGACTCGGGTCGAGATGAACTGCTCTAAACGACGAAAACACCTTCCAACCTTTCGGAATCGTATAACCTAACGTTTCATCCACAGAGTAAAAGCATGAGAACGTTAAAAACCCGACCGTGAGCTCGAACGAAGGACCAATGATCTCTGCTACCTTTGATCTCGACATCGGTCGTTGTTCGTCTGAAGACGCCGCTTATAATGTTAGCCACTCGTAATGTCTCGTTAACGACCTAATGGTTTAGAAATCGATCGAAAAAACGAAGGAAAATTAGTTTGATTGGGTGAAAAAAAATCATAGAGAGTGATACGAAGTGTCATTACTTACACATTGGGTGAATGGCATTGATTTGTAATCGCTCCATTGTAGACTCTCTGATTCCATCTTCTTCCCCCTAATCTCCTCGTGCTCCTCCTGCGTTGTGCAAACCAAAAAATGAAATTTATTTTTTTTTTAAAAAAAAAGGCAACAATATTCACATAGACATCCAATGGTGAAAACTACACAAGTTTTGATTTTATTATAATTTTGTTTACATGAAGAAAATAAGCATATAGATATTTATTTATTTTCAATTCATTTGTATTCCCAATAATTATATCGAGGTCAAGCAAGAGAGAGAAGGAACGTGGTAAGAGTGGGATTATGCGTTGGGGGGGTTGACATGATGTTGTCCGGTTGAAGAAATGACCACTTTTGACTTTACGCCATTTGTCATTTCATTTCCCTTCATACCAAAAAAAACTTTTTATGACATAACACTCAATCAAATTTTAAAATTTTAAAATTTTAATTTAATTCCCAATTTTCAATCTTGAATCAGCATGATAGTTCTGTTACCAAGTTCTGTAAATTAACTATAGTTAACACACCTAAAAATATTAACATAAAGAAGACTAAAAATATTTCAAAATTTTTTACTTTTTTAAATTTTTATATCGAATTAGAATTATGTACAATTTTATTTATAATTAACCGAAGCGAAATGGATATTCTATTCGTAAAGCTAGAAACCAGTTGGGAGGTGGGGGAGAATCTTAAGACAAGGAAAGTGAAGAGTGAAAACAGCCCCTAAAAGAGAGAGGCCAACATGACATCATTGTGTCCATTTGTATTGTGTCCCCATCCCATTTTCATGGAGCAATCCATTCACCACCACTACCACTACCACCTCCCTCCTCACCATAATAATTATTTACACCACAATACAATATTCCATTATTATTATTATTATTATTTTTGAAAAGAAAAATCACTTGGTTTTTTTTTTAATGCAAATCAAAACAAATTTGAATTAACTAAAAACAGCCCTTTTTTTGTTTTGTTTTGATGTTTTGAATTGACGGAGATATTTAATCATTAAAACCTTAATCACCCATTTGTCATTAACAACCCATGATTAGATTTGAACTTAATCCGCACGTCATTTTCCACTTTAATAAAAGAAAACCCAGATTTAAAATAGTCTATAATTTCATAAACAAAAATATTATTAACCCTTAAAAAAAACTATAAAAATCATGGTGGTGAAAGATTACTATACCTTGAGCTGGGAAAGAGCAAGAGGAGTCTCCGTGAGGAATTTGACGGCGAGGGTCATGATCGTGGAGGTGGTTTCGTAGCCGGCGACTAACAGAGCCACCAAGAAATCGACGATCTCTTCGTCGGAAAACCCATCCTCCGCCGCAAGCAACGCCCCTAACATATCTTTCTTCGTTTCCTCCGCCGCTCTCCTCCGCCGCACCACCACCGTCAGCTCCTCCGCCACCTTCCCCCTCGCCTACCACAAGATAATCCTCAAGACCTATAAAGATACAA